GGGGGGGGGTAGCTCTATCCGGCTCCATCCGGCGTCCCGGGGCGGGGGGGGATGCCCGGATCGCCACTGGGATGGCGTCTGGCGGAGCTGGGACCCGGGGAGCGGCCTCCAGCCTCGGCCGGGAGCGGTGGGGGGGTGGCAGTCGGTGTCGTTAATCTCCTCCCCGGGGGGAAGCGCAGGCTGGGCCGGCTCCCCCCCCCCCGCTGCCTGGAGGCCGTTTGTGGTCTGTTACCCGAGGGGGGAAAGGGGGGATTAATCCTTTTCTCGATCCGCAGGACGCGGCGGTTCCTCCGGTGCCAAGTTCCGTATCTCCCTCGGTCTCCCGGTGGGAGCCGTGATCAACTGTGCGGACAACACAGGTGAGAATGACCGACCGCCCCTGGGGCTTGAGCCGGGGGAGTCCGGTGGGAAGGAGAGCACGGAGGGCAACCTGCTGTTGAACAAGTTTGTAAAACAAAAACCCCAGTTTTCCTTCTTAAAAAGCTCTTGTGGGGTCCGTGCTTGTGGCTCAGTGAGACGTGGAACGATGCGGCTATCGTATCACTTTTTGGTGAAGGGGCAGCCCATGTGCCGTTTGCTTCAGTTGGTGGTTTGACAAGGGAAGCATGTTCCCGGACAGCTGGGTTAATGCCAGCACTTCTCTCTGTAGGTGCCAAGAACCTGTACATCATCTCCGTCAAGGGGATCAAGGGACGTCTGAACAGGCTGCCGGCGGCTGGCGTGGGCGATATGGTGATGGCCACTGTCAAGAAGGGCAAGCCAGAGCTGAGGAAGAAGGGTGAGTTCAGAGAGGAGCAGCGTGTCCCACTGCGGCAATGGGTGGATCCTGTTGAGAGCCTGCCTGCATTCTAGTGCCCCTTCTTCAAGGGATGGAGAGGCAGGTGGCTTGTTGGAGGGGAGCGCCATTCCTGCCTCAAACTGACCCGGAAGGCGGGCACTGGATCTCTGGAGTGCCACCTCCACCCTTCCAAAAAGCACTTGTTGAGTCTGTGTGCAGTGACTCGGTGAGTTGTCGTGGAAGGGCAGAGCAAAGGCATCGCTTTTGGGTGAAGTGGCAGCTCGTGCTGTTCATTTCAATCAGGGGTGTGACACTCTGCCTTGGAAAAGGTGTTTTTTATTGCTCAGGAGGAGTTCTTGCTGAATATTGTCTGTGAATTGATGATATGTTCAGAAATAAAGGTGGGAAAGTGGAAAACCACTGAATTGTCCAAGCGTAGATGCAGCTCTAAGTGTTACACAGTTTTAAGCATAGTATTGTCTATAAACTGTAGCTTCTCTTAGAAATATGAGATGAAAAAAACCCAACCAAACAAAACCCAAACCCATGCCTCGAGTTAGATGCTGCAGCACAACAGTTTCTCTGTGGTGTCTGTTGCTGGACTGTGTGCTTAAAAGGATGTTCGCGATACTGAGCTGCTTGTTTCTCCTTGCAGTCCACCCAGCAGTGGTCATTCGGCAGCGGAAATCGTACAGGAGAAAAGATGGGGTGTTCCTCTATTTTGAAGACAATGCGGGAGTGATAGTAAATAACAAAGGTGAAATGAAAGGTACGGGCAAGAATCTTGTTGCACTGGGCGAAAGGGGAACGCGGAGAGGGGTGGTAGGTCGGCATTGCCAGTTAGAGGGCTGCGCTCTCCTGGGAAAAAGGACCCAGATTCCCCTCAGGCTCAGGGGAGCGCAATTGGGCTGAGCTAGTGTTTCTGTAAAATGCCCTGAACCATCTCTGCACCTACTTGGGCCTCTAATGCGCTGTCATTTTTTTCTGTTTTCCAGGCTCTGCAATCACAGGCCCTGTGGCTAAGGAGTGTGCGGATCTGTGGCCCAGGATAGCCTCCAATGCGGGAAGCATTGCATAAATATGTTCATCTTCACAGAGATAAAATAAAAGTCCTTGTATGAAATAAGTAGTGTCTTTCTTGCCAAAGCGCCCTCAGCTGAGCAGGACAACATTATAATGAAGTTAGTTCTGGGAAGCCTTTTTACAGAACTCCTTGTGTGGATGTATACTTCAGCAGGAAAATGGGATTTGGAGTTTTAATACCCAGTGATAAGTCTCTTTTTCAGGCAGGTTCCTATAGTACTGGAAAATTTGTGGCAGGGGGTTGCACTGGAATGACAAATTTTAGCCATACTGACTGAATTGATCCAATTTATGTATGCATGGGTAGAGCCCGGGAGGTGTCTATGAAAGCCCTTCTCCAAGAAGCCTTTCTAGAAGGGCTCTCAAAATTGTAGGTCTGGAATTTTCTTCTAGAATGGGCAATTTAACTGCTTGGAGATAATGGTCTGATTCTCTGTGGGAGAGGGAGATACTGCCTGAAACTGATTTGTACCATGAGCTGCAGAGTTCATTGTGGACAGCAGGCTCTGAAGAGTGTTTCTTAGACCTTGCTGAAGACTTGCAAGGACACATCAAGCCCACTGCTGCTGGCTGAGGTAGTGGCTGAAGCAGATGCCTCTAAACCCTCCATCAGTGGTGAAACAGGCCCTGAGGTCATTGATTGCTAATTGCAAGTAGAAGGGGTGATCTAAACTTTCAAGATCAGCTGAAAGGCTTCAAGATCAGAGTTAGAAGGTATGTCTATGCAAAAACTCCTTGTGCTATGTGAAGTTGCTTGTGCTTTTCCTGGTGTTCCTCTGGCTGAAGCAGAGAAAGGAATTATTTGGATACAAACTGCACGTCAGCTTGTTTTCTGGCCCTCCTGAGCAAGGGCCACTGGAGGGCTAGGGAGGCTGCCTTGTACCTGGGCTCACAAGTGAAAATAGGGATGACTTTGTCCTGGATATTGTGGCCCTGGTGCCCTGTAACACCCTGTTTAACCCCAGCAAGCATGCTGCTGTGGGTCCACGGGGCAGGTGATGGGGTATGGGGTACTGCTCCCAGGACTGGCTGCAGCTCCTACCTCAGGTAGCCCCTGGTGTGGTTGAGCTTGCCTCATCTGCCCTGGCACAAACCTGATCCCAGAACATACTTCACTTTTCCCCTAAAGGGATTTCAGTGCAGAGAGGTTATAGTGAAGGAAGGAGGGTGGTGAAGGGAGCAAAGCCTCAGAGATTTTATAGCACAAATGTAGTTAGCAGTGGACAAGAGCATCAGGGTCTTGCAGTGGTTTGTAAAGTGTTGTTGTTTTTCAGCAGCTGTTTGGCCTAACCAACACAAATCTGCAAAATATTGTGGCCTAAAAATTGTTCTCAGATGTTCCCACTGGATAATCAGGAGCTGTGCACTGGCAGCAGCTGGGGAGGGGAAACTTGGAGAAGGGCTTACATGGACTGAGGGCAGCTGTCTTTTCTACAGGCCATTCCCTGGAGCAGACGAGC